CTGCTGGAAAATAAATGGCGCAGAAGACCACTCATCAAGGTCGCAGACTGATGATCATCGCAGGTTTTGTCCGAAGGCCAAAGAACAACCAAGACGAATATGGGAACAGCCTCCTACCAAAACCAGAGGGGGTGATTCCATGGCTTGGAAGAATAGGAACAAGCCTTGGCTCACATGCTGCCTCCATAAGAATATAAGAACAGCCCTCCTGGATAAGACCAATGGTCCATCTAGTCCAACATCCTGTCTTCATACAGTGGCCAACCAGTTCCCCTGGACGGCCAACAACAGGGCATAGAAGCCGAGGTCTTCCCCAGGTGTTGCCTGTGGAATCCAGAGGATTTGCGCCTCTGAATGTGGAGGTTCTGCTCAGTCATCTTGGCTAGTAGCCACTGATAGACTATGAATCTATCTAATCCCCTTTGAAAGCTGTTGATTCCTATGGCTATCACTACAGCTTCTGGCAGCAAATTCCACATTTTAATCACTCTGTGTAAAGTAGTATTTCCTTTTGTCCATCTTGAACCTACTGTCCATCAGTTCCATTGGATACCCTCAAGTTCTTATATTTTGGGAGAGGGAGAAGAATTTCTCTTTGTCACCTCCACCCTGTGCATAATTTTATAAACCTCTTTCACGTCCCCCCCCCTTAGTTGTCTCTCTTCTAAACTAAAAAGTCCCAGACTTTTCAGACTTTTTCCATAGGGGAGGTGCTCCAACCCCCAAACCATCTTGGTTGCCCTCCTCTGTACTTTTCCCAGCTCTGCAATGTCCTTGTTCAGGTACAGTGACCAGAACTCTGCACTGTATTCCAAAAGAGGCCACAGCACAGATCTATACAGAGGCATTACAATATTGGCCATTTTATTCTCAATCCCTTTTCTAAAAATCTCTAACATGGAGCCTGCCTTTTTCACCGCTGCAGCTGCTCCCCTCTCACACGCACAGCTTCACTTTATGGCTCTGCCAATACATCAAACTAAAGGCTGCCACAATACTCAAACTGTTGTTTCCTTCCAAACAACAATCAGAAGCTGTGATTTAGAGGATGAATGAAGCCTACTGGGAATTTATGAAAAAACAGCTGTGATTAAGGGAGCAATCCTAAACCACTCCCATGTTATTAAACCTGGGGGAAGGTCCTTAGGACTGCAACCTTACTCACTTGCCCAAACAGTGAATGAAAACAAAGCTGAAGAAGATTATGAACCTGAAAATTAATGTGTAAAATCAGTTACTGTATGCCTGCTCATCCAGTGTCAGTCCTGAAGGAAACTTAGCTAATTTAAGTAGTCTTTTTAACATTCAATTCAAGTCTGACATCTGTGAATGTCAAAGCATAATTACAGTATTTTACTCAAAACTTTCGCAGAGCTGTATAGACTAGATTGTCAATTTCCTAGCGAAGAAAGGGGGGAAATGTCAAGTAGTCTACTCAAAACTTGACTATTTGAAGTAGAGGCAATGTACATTCACTCTGAAAATGCAACAACAATACATTTATTGTTACAGAATAGCAGCCTTTCCATCTTTAGAAGAACAGTAACAACAGGGGAATGGACTGGATATTGATTAGAAACTAGTACAGGTCCATGAGTTGTGTCCATCACATGACTGTGATTGAGATGCAGTTCTGAAATGAATAAATCTATCTGCCTTGACAGAGAGTGAACAGAAAACATGCCATGTGAAGAAGCGCATCGTGCTCAGCTCTGGTGAGATGGAACAGATCCAGCCTCCCTTGAAGAGGATCAAGCCATGGGGCTGGAACATAAACCTCTCCTCAAAGCACTCTGCTTGTAACCCTTCGGAGCTGCTATTAGGCACACTGGAAATCACTGTTTTGACCCCGGCAGGGGGCATATAGTCCCTGATTCACTGATTCTTTCCCAGACACAATGCTTCATGTAAACTGGAGGTGTTATTTCTCAGATTACATGTGGGTGTTTTCAGATTCACCAGTTATATCTGCTGTTTCTATAGACAGATGCTCTTCTAATAAGCACAGTAACCCTATTCTATCCTCTTCAAGGAATTAGTCACACTTTTAAAAATTCCTAACGGCGTGTACAGCCACACACACAAATCGAACAGCAAGGAACAAATCCAGAAGGCCACAAATACTTAAATAGGACAGCTAGGCCAACACGCTCGGACCAAAAGTGTATCGCGTAACCATCTTTTTAATAGGCAACTGTTAAAAACGTATACAGAGCATACATTGCAAAACCACTTTAATAGTAGATACAAGGCATGCAACTCTATCATGGTATCCAGATCTGTCACAGGCACCAGTAACCTTCTACTACAACATGAAACCTCTTTACTCCACAGACAACCTGGTGGGCCCTGGCTACCCTGGGTCTCACCATACTGATGCCAAACTTTGTGCAGACATCTAACTGGCATTGCCCACGGCAGCCCAGAACTCCTGAAGTCAAGCAAAATGCCAGCCTTGGGATTACAGGCTTGTGCCACCGCACCCATCTACAGTACTGAAACAGCTTCAGACATTTTCAAGGATGACTCTGTATTGGACTGCCAAATGCAGACTTGCTCGGCTGCTCTAGGAAAACCTCAGTAATTACTATTCAGCTGGCAAGAGCTGTCAAACGACAATTAAGACAACTTGACTTTGGAGCTGTGAGACAGGACTGAAGAGATACAAACTGATCGTAGCTGACTGGGTGGAAATCTCAGGGCTACTCTGAGCTGCTGAAAGAACTAAGCCGCCTTGGAAATCAGCACCGCACCTTGTGTGTATAATTTTACAGTGCCTTTGTAATTTGTCTTCTTGCCTTGGATCCTACGAACAAGTTCTGTTAAGTGCTAGATAGTCTGCCACAGATTACACTTCCACTAAAACTGCAATTTATGCAAGATCAATGGTTTTCAGTGGGCCCCCTGCACAAGCTGAAGTGGTAGTAGAAGAGAAGTATGCTTCCGGCAGAGATTATCTAGTATGATGTATGCATTCATAGGATCCAAGCCCTTGTATATATATATATAAAACGTTATACACACACTTCTGGCGGGGTACGGCTGGGCTGTTTAAATATTTGTGGTCTTCTGTTATTCATATGCACAGCCAACCAGGGACACGAGACAATTATAGCAAGGAGGGGGGAGTATGCTAATTCAAGTCACGTGTTAGACATATCATTCGTTTGCATAATATATGCTGACCAAATCTCATTTCAGTTTAACCACTTTTAGTGTGTTTTTCAGCATTCAAAGTGCCTTCGTTCACTGAGATCGGTGCATAGTCACGGCCCTGTGCTAAAAAGCCATCCAGTACCACAGCTCAATCTGGTGTGCACCCTGAATAAATTATGTATTTGAGAAGTGACTTGGGGCCAGTTGCTCTTTCTCTCTAATCTAACTCACATAGCTGTTGGGAGGGGTTAAAAAAAACAGAGGAGCAGAGAGGCACTTTTACCACTCCGGGCTCCCTGAAGAAGGGTGGCAGAGATGAGTAATACATGCATCCGTCTTGTTTACTCCTGCAGGAAAAGAGCCACGTTATACATCCAAGATCCAACTTTTCAAGGACTACAGTTCGGAAGAAAATCTGTACATGGGAGACGAAGGAATGACAGAACTGAGGGAGGAGGGTATGCACTAGGCCGTGATTTCTGGCTTCAGAAACGAGGCACAAGCTGCCCTGTCCTTCCACCAGTTGCCACTGAGCCCCCTATTCTTCGTCCTTCCAGCCTGCTACTTACGTCTTGTGTATTGTCTGGAAAAGCTGCTGTCCTTCCAAAGAGACCCCAGCACTAATTGCGTACGCCTGGCTCAGCTTTTCTTCCTTCTCCATCCGTGCTTTGTTCGCAAGCTGGGAAAGGAAGCAGAAGAGGGGCACAGATATTAACCTGGGACTGTGAACAGCAGCAGATGCTGGCTCTGCACAGAACATTCAGACAACGGGGACGGCGACCGATTCCAGTTAGCTGAGGTAACTCCCAAATGGTTCAGGGACACATCTCTAGCTGGGGACAACCCCCCCCCCCCCATGGCTGCTTGGTCTTCTTATCCAAGAAATAAGTTTTCTATAGACAAGGAAAAGGAGCCATAGGATTCACCTCATCTCCCCTTCCCAGAGCAAATTACATAATTGTGCACAGAAGTTTGAAAGGCAGTATACTGGCATTAGTATCTAGGAATTCAAACTAGGTGGCAGGCATTTAAATAGTGCTCTGCCTTCCCAACTCTGACACAATGCCTCTTTTTAAGCAATCTGAGATTTTGCACCTTACAAATTAGCATCCTTAATGTACATAACAGTCTTCTAGCACTTTAAATGCTAACAGATATACTGTGGTAGAGTGTCTGGTAAGCCAGAGACCATTCTGAGAGAAAAATTTCCACAGCTGTTTTTTGTTTGTTTGTTTTTTTGCAGTGAGAGAACACCCTAGGCCTCTGCTGAGTCTGGTAGTATGAAATCTGTTGTATGAATTCCAACTCAGCAGCTCTTTGCTGCAGTCGCCCACTGGAATGACTGTGCTGAGGTACTGCAACTTTTAAGTCACCCAGCGTTCCTGAAACTACAGCACTCACTCGGAAGAGAGATAAATGGACAGGGTTAGACAGGTACCCTGAAGGCACGTTCCACAGGACAGGCCCAACAGGCTCCCCGGCCTGAGGCAACCCATTCACCAACGGACCACCCAGTGGAAATACCAGGCCTGGTGCCAACACTATGCTCATATATATCCAAGTGACACTACCAAGGAACATGAATTTCTATCAAGACTTGGATTCAGCAGGGATTTTGCTTACTACAAGAAGTAATTCTTATTCCTTACAGCTTCATGCACCCTATTTCGGATTCAACTCCTGGGAGTGGTCTTCACCTAATCTGAGACATAACATAAAAAGAGCTCTGCTGGATCAGACCAGTGGTCCATCTAGTCCAGCAACAGGGCATAAAGGCAGAGGCCTCCCCCCTGTTGCTGCTTCTGGGCACTGGTATTCAGAGGTGAAGGTGTGACCCTGTGAACGTGGAGGTTCCCTTCAGTCACCATGGCTAGTAGCCACTGATAGACCTCTCCTCCATGAATCTGTCTAACCGACTTTTAAAGCCATCTCTGCCTGTACCATCATTACATCCTCTGGAAGTGAATCCCACATTTTAATCAACTGTTGTGTAAAGAAGTATTTCCTTTTGTCCATCCTGAATCTACTGCCCATCAACTTCACCGGATGCCCTTGAGTTCTAGTATTTTGGGAGAGGGAGAAAAATTTCCCTGGCAACTCTCTCCACCCTGTGCATAATTGTATAAACTTCTATCATGTCCCCCCCCCCCCCCGGCCGCCTCTTTTTTATATCACTGAAGAGTCCTAGAATCTTCAGCCTTTCCTCACAGGGAAGGTGCGCCAGCTCTCTAATCATCTTCATTGCCCTCTTCTGTACTTGTTTCAGCTGTGCAAAGTCCTTTTTGAAATACATTGACCAGAACTGCACACAGTATTCCAAATGATGCTGCACCACAGATATATACAGGGGGCATTATAATACTGGCTGTTTTATTTTCAATTCCTTTTCTAACAATCCCTAGCACAGAGTTCGCCATTTTTCACTCATGTAGCACACCTGGTTGACATTTTCACTGAGCTGCTAGCTATGGCCCAAAAGATCTTTTCCCCTCTGTCTCAGTGAGTTCAGGCCCTGTTTACCTACACTTGAAGCTGGGTGGGTTGTTGTTTTTTTGTCCCAATATACACCACCCTACTTACCAACAGTGAATGTCATTTGCCACATTGTTGCTAGCCCACCTAATCTGTGGAGATCCACCTGGAACTCTTCACAGTCAGCCTTGGTTTTCACCATCCTGAATAATTTTGTGCTGTCTGCAAACTTGGCCACTACTCTACTCACACCTAGTTACAGATCAATTTTTGAACAAATTTAATAATACCAGCTCCAATATCAGTCCTTGTGGGACCCCACTACTCACTTCCATCCATTGTAAGAACTATCTATTTATTCCTACTCTTTGCTTCCTGCCATTAATCAATCTTTAATCCATAAGAGAACCTGTCCTCTTATACCATGACTGCTAAGTTTACTCAGGAGTCTTTGGTGAGGTACCTTATCAAAAGCCATTTGAAATTCCAAGTATGTAACATCTACCAGGTCACCACTGTCTACATACTTGTTCACTTTCTCAAAAGAACTCCAAAAGGTGGTGAGTCAGGACTTCCCTTTGCAGAAGCCATGCTGATTTTCCCTCAGCAGCCTTTGTTCCCCTATGTGCCTAATAATTCTATCTTTGATTAGTTTCTACTCCTTTGCCTGGGACAGACATTAGGCTAACTGGTCTGTAATTTCCTGGTTCCCCCCCAGGATGCTTCTTTTAAAAAATCGGTGTAATATTTCTTACTCTCCCATTTTCTGGTACAACAGCTAAATTTAGCAATAAATCACATATACAGGTTAGCATAACAGTCTTGCATCTGAGTTCCCTAATAACTCTTGAGTGTATGGCCATCAGGACCTGGAGACTCACTGGTTTTTAGTTTCCCTCATAGATCTAGAACATCATCCCTTGCCACCTCAAATTGACTCAGTACATCAGACTCCCTTCCTGAAAATAACAGCTGTGGCCCACACTTTCCACAGGGAACAAAGAAGCAAAAAATCCATTAAGCTTCTTTGCCATCTCTCTATCTTCCTTTAGCAATTCCTTTATTCCCTGGTCATCCAAAGATTGGTTTCCTGAGCTGGATATATTTAAGGAAATGTTTGTTTGTCTTGACATTTTAGCAAACTGCTCCTCAAATTCTCTTTTCACATGTCTAAATCCTACTTTAGTTTTCTTCTGCCAAAGCCTGTGATCCCTTCTGTTCAATTCACTGGAGCAGTACTTCCACTTTATAAAAGGAGTCTCTTTGCTTCTTTGATTTGCATTGTTAACCATGCAGACATTCTTTGAGACTTGGCAGTGCTTTTCCAAACCTGGGAAATGCATTCTATTTGGCTTCAATAAGTGTGGTTTTAAACAGGCTCCACGAATCCTCTAGGGATTTGACACTCTTGTGTTTCCCTTTCAGTTTCCTTTTAACTAGTCCCCTCATTAAAGAGCCAGTTTGGTGTAGTGGTTAAGAGTGGTGAACTCTAATCTGGAGAATTGGGTTTGATTCCCCACTTCTCCACTTGAAGCCAGCTGGGTGACCTTGGGTCAGTCACAGTTCTCTCAGCCCAAAAAATAAATCTAGCTCGCCACAAAAAAGAACTAGAGTTTCAGGCTGCCAGACAATCTTTGGATCTCCTGGCTATACTACCCACTGTTATACAATAATTAATTAATTACTTAGAACCCTCATTTTTATGCAGTTCCCTCTTTTAATCAGATGTTACAGTTTTGGATTTTAGGGGTAGCTTTTCACTGATGTGAATGCTGAAATTAACAGCACTGTAGTTACCATTTCCAACTGGAACAGCACTGTAGTTACCATTTCCAACTAAATCTCTCAACAGGTCTTGAGCCCCTCTCAGAACCAAGTCCAAGATCACGACCCCTCCCACTGGCTGTGTGACCATCAGTTTCAGTGCACAGTCATTTATGATGTCTGGGAATCTCATTTCTACAGCATGATTCAAGACATATGTTTACCTCCGGGAGACTGTTCTTTTGAATAGATCTTGTTTTTACCTGTGCTGTACAATGGAACATTAACACACTTTGTCAATGAATATTAAATTGTAGAATTCACAGTCAATGGATGTAGTGATGACCACAAGCATAGATGACCTTAAAATGGATTTAATGGAGGACAGGTTCATCAGTGGCTACTACGTAGTCATTGGGACTGAAGGGAACAGAGGCTGTAAAGCTCTGAAATCCAGTGTTAGGAGTCAACATCAAGGGTTGGCCTTAGTTTCTGTGCCCTGTTTGCTGGCTCTCCAGGGTAACTAGTTGGCCACTAGGTAAAAAAGGCTGCCATACTAGATGGACCACCGGTCTAATCCAGCAGCATTCTTTTTATTCTCACATGATCTGAAATCTCTTTTTCACATGAAAGATTACAGACATCCTGAGAAGGAAACAAAAAAATTCATCTCGCAGAAATATATGAAGTTGCCTATAGCGAATTAGTACACTGGTCCATCTAGCTCACGCCTGTCTACAGAAAAAGGTAGAGGCTCTACAACGTTTCAGGCAGAGATCAGGCTTTCCCATCACTGCTACCTAGAATTCATTTACCTGGAGATAACAGAGAATGAACCTGACACCTTCTGCAAGCAAAGTATGTGATCTACTACTGAGCCTCAGATCCTTTTGATTTAACAAAACAGTGCAGAGTAGGACACCATACTAAACTGGCTAACCAACCAAAAAGCTGCTACCGGCCAACAGACTGAAGCTTAGTTAAAACAGATACAGAGTACGACTTCATACTGCTAATGATTAGTAAATGTAGTTCCAGTGGTCTCAGGGACAGTAAAGTCAATTTCACAAGGACTTCTTACCTTGCCAACATTGAGTGAAGCTAAAGGTGGGGGGGTTTCTGTGCGGTCGTTGATTATTTCCACGTCTGAAACATACTGTAAGTTTATAAGCAAGATATCTGCATGGTTAGGCTTGCCACTGGAAGAAGGACATTCTGGAGGAAAATATTATTAAGGAAACGATCCCAGAAAATATAGTTCAGAACTTCAAAGAGAAAGGATTAATCAGAGTACCATTTCTTTTACCAGGATAATTCACAAGTGAGCATACCTGTCATTTCCTTCGTATCCCAACCTTCATGTTCTCCCCTACCCTGTTTTATCCCACAACAACACTGCAAGGCAGGGTAGGCTGAGAAAGTGACCAGCCCAAGGTCACCCAGGGAGCTCACAGTAGAGATTTTTAAAACCTGAATCTCCCCTGTCGGAGTCCAATGTTCTAACCACTACTCCACCCTGGGCTTGTAGGCTCCATATGACTTTGTGAGCAAAGTTTGTAGCTAGGTGCCCTACAGATAACAACAAGCTGTGGCTGAAGTTGAGATATTTCATGCCAAGGCAAAAGCGTTGACTTTTCAAAAGCCTAGAGCAAAAAGAAAATAAGCGTTTAATGCTTTGAGCACTACCAAACAACTACAAGCCTCTGGAAGCTATTTTGTGCAAGTAGCCCACCAGTACGATCCTTCAAAGATCTGTGTAATACACAAATACAAGAGAATGAATAAGTTGTGTCATGTTTGTGAAGTACAAGTCTGTTTTTCAGTAACTCTGAATATGTGCGTTACCTCACTTTTAGAACAGAGATTCCCAAACTCAGACTCTATCTAACTGGACTCTACAACACAAATCCCACAAGAGGCGTGGCCCTGTTCCATATCCCAAGGTATGTGATAACTCACAAAAGAATGGATTCTGGCAATTAGGAGCCCCAAAAGCAGGTGAAAGTTGCCTGGTACCTCTGCTGTCTAGAACCCAGTATTGTTTTACTTCCTACCCTGAGCTCTTTCAGACAGAATAAAACTGGGTCAGTGCAGACGTGACATTGGGGCCGCTGCACACTTCCTTCTGTCCCATCTCAGCCTTAACCACAAATAACACAAGCATTAACTGTGATTAACACTCATGCCTCTGTAACATCCTACTGTGCCTATTTGGTTTCTTTGCAATGGAGTCAGGAAGGAAGTGAGTATGAAACATCTCCCATGGATCACACAGATTCACAACAGACTTACAGTATGCAAGGGAGCACTGCCCATGTTGCACACAACCTATGCCACCAGGGTAATGAAAGACAACTGAAGCAACATACTGCACCAAGGACCTTACAGAATACCCAGTCTATAAACTTCCACTTAGACACACAGAGGTTTGGATCCATCAGAGCATTTCCATGGACAGGAGGAACAGAAGCAGTGTTTCAGAGGTATTTAGGAATGTGGCAAGAGGGAAATTGTTCTGCCTGCAGAAATGCACTAGTGGATCCAAATTAGAGAAGTCTCCATCACTTAAATAGCTGCCACCTTTACCCAGTGTTCCCTCTAAGCTGAAGTAGTGTGAGCTAGCTCAGTTTGTTAGCCTCTGGCTCACACATTTTTGTCTTAGCTCAGGAAGGATGGCTCCAGAGCAAACTAATCTATGCAGTAGCCAAATCACTCACTCACAACTTTAATGTCAGTAGCTCACAAAGTAGAATGTTTGCTCACAAGACTCCATAGCTTAAAGGGAGCAATGCCTCCACCCCATCCAATAAAATCACCTGTATTCTGTTTTCGAACATCTATATTTGCTGCTAACCCAACTTTGTTTTATTAATTTAAAAAACCCTCATGGCTGTGGAACAATTCATTTAAGACTCCAGGGATTCGCAGGGAGCCACTACATGTAAATACTGAACATTCTTATTTTCCAGCACCAACAATATTCCACTCCACATTATGAAGCCCAGTTAACACTTGTCTCAAGCCTTCCTTGGGAAAAATACACATGCAATTATTTGTCACTGCTTGAATGCAAGATACCCTTGTAAGTGCAAATTAGTTGTCACAGTTCAAAACCAACACATTTCATTTCAAATGCAATGCTATCTAAAACGGGCTCACCTCCCATATTTAGTCAGCAAGCGATACACAACTCTGAGTCAAGTTCGGACACCTTCCCACACTGCAAACTGATAGGATCCTCCCTACCCCTAAGATCTAGGAGACCCAAGTTTAAATCCCCCCCCATGTACCATGAAGCTTGCTGGGTGACCTTGGCCCAGCCTGGCCAACCCCATAGGGCTGTTGTGAAACTCACTAAAGGGCTTTGGGATAGCCAATTCCCTCTCAGCCTATACACCAGCTACTTGAAAAATCCCTCCCTTTCCAAAGCCCTGCTGCATTCCTACCCCTCTCCACAATCTATTCCTTCAAAACCTGGAACTGTCCCTCCTTCTCACCCAACAGATCAAAATGCTCACCCACACCCCCCCCCAAAAAAAACCCTGCTTTCCTCTACATCAGCCTGTTGTCCAAACTTTGCCACCATCACACATTTCCCCCCAACCCGCTGTGTTCCAGCCTCCACAGTCCTGTGCTCCAAAACAGGCCAAGGAATGCCCTGTGGCCTGGAAAGGCGGGAAAGTGTCACTTCCACTGGCAGGGGATGGGGGGGTACGGTTGCCAGGTTGAGAAACTCCTGGAGATTTGGGGATGGAGTCCAGGGACCTCTGGGGGTACAATGCCAAAAGGTCCACCGTCCAAAGCATCCATTTTCTCCAAGGAAACTGATCGCTGTAGTCTGGAGTTGAGCTGTAATTCTGGGAGGTCCCCAGGACCCACCTGGAGGCTGGCATCCCTTCGCCTCCCCTCCCCGGACATTCCCCATCCCAACCCCACCAGGAATCCCCCAAACCGAATCCAGCTCTTCTCCTCCCTGCCAAGCCCGGCTCGCCTCCAGTCTCTCTCGCCCTCCCGAAGCTAAGCCAGGCGCCGCAGCCTAGAGGGAGGCCGGGTGCCCCTTTCCATCCCAGGCCGGGCCCCAGCCAGCCATCCCTCCCCTCTGCCGGCCTGCTTGCTTCCTCCCTTCCCCGCCTCCCTCCTTCCCCTTCGAGTCAGGATACTGAGCGCCAGCATCTTGCTGGGGTAGTCAAAGGCCACCACCTCGCCTTGCAGCCGCTGCTCCTGGCAAGTCCGGCACGACACTTGGCTGCCCACACTGAAGAACTCGCCGCCCAGCGCCGCCATCTTGTTTCAGGCCCAGGAGGAGGCGGCAGCGGCGGAGGCACCTTTCGCGCCCCCGCCGAGCCGCCGCAGCGGCAGCAGCCCCAGCGGCCGCCGCCTGGGGAGGGAGAGGGAGGCGGCGCGGAGGGGAAGGGCGGAGCGGGGCTACCCGGAGCGACCCCAGCCGCCTCAAGTCAGGCCCCCGCCGCCGCCGCTCGCGTGCTCCGTTTCTTTTTCGGCCGCCTGGCGTAAAAAAAAGAGATAGGGGGAGGGAGGGAGAGAGGGCGAGGTGTGGCCAAGGCGACGGCGCCCCGCCCGGACGTCGGCCCCGCCCTCCCGCACCCACGCACGCACGTGACGTCACCGCGCCAGGCGAGCGGCGGTTGGTTGGTTGGTCGGCCGCAGGGGTTCGGGGAAGGGGAAAGGAGGAAAGGGAAGGAAAGGAGAGGCGAATGGGAAGGGGGCGGGGCCCAGGTGGGCGGGGCCTGGGGTGCTGGAGAGAGGGCGTGCCCGGTGCGGTTTGCGGGCGTGCCGGCGGTTGATTTTTTAAAAAGTAGCTCCTTCGCGTGGCGTCATTAAGCAACAGAGACCTCCGAGCAGGGAGGGCACGTGGAACCTATAGACGCATTACCACGAAGGCACTTTTAATCCGTGTACATATGGTGATAATTCCAAATGGGTAGCCCGGTTAGTCTGTAGCGCTCTAGGCTGCGACAGGAGACCGGCACGTCCCTTAAGCACACGTGGAACTCTGTACAGACTTTACAATGAAGGCATCTGTAACCCGTGATAATTCCAAATGGGTAGCGGTGTTAGTCTGCAGGAATGGACTGCAACAAGAGGTCGGTGGGCACCTTATGGACTATACATGTGGGACGTACTAAAACTAAGGACAGCGATTGCCCATAGGGAATACATGAGTGCCCATAGAGAATAATGAAGAGTAGGCTTGCCCAGAGGGGATAGTGCAGTACATAATTGCCAATAGAGAATCCAAAATTGCCAATAGAGAATCCATGACTGCCCATAGGGAATAATGGAGAGGTCGCTTGCCCATAGGGGATAATGGAGTTCATAATTGCCAATAGAGAATCCATTATGCCAATAGAGAATCCATGACTGCCCATAAGGAATAATGGAGAGGACGCTTGACCATAGGGGATAATGGAGTACATAATTGCCAATAGAGAATCCATGATTGCTCATAGGGTCATAATTGCCAACAGAGAATCCATGATTGCCCATAGGCAATATTGCCCAGAGGTCATTCCGGCTCCCCCAGCTCTCGTTAGGGGCTCTTTAAAAAGTTGCTGGCGGTGGCAGCGGCAGCGGGGGGGGGGGGGGGGGTTCCCCCGGGGGGGGGCTTTGGCCTCGTGGGGGGAAATTGGTGGAATTTGCCCCTAGGAGTCCATAGGCCTCTGAAATCCTTATTATGTTCTTAACTGTGTGCAATCCTATGCAAAGTTACTCCAGTCTAAGTCTATTGAAATCAATGGGCTGAGACTAAAGTAACTGCATATGATAGCAGTATAATGTACGAATGTAGAATATAATGGGAAAAGAATGTGATGTAATGCAAAGGGCTCCCTGCTTGTTACTTGTTCCTGTGAATGTCTATTTTGTCCTCTAACTCTTGTACATTAACAGTGTACAACCACACTGAATACTTTTCAAAAATTATCACATGTAGTAGTAATACATTAATATGGTGTGCTTTATATTTAGTGTATTGTAATGAGAGTTTTCTTGTATTTTTTCATTTTACTGTTTCCATTATTGCATTATCTTATTTGTTATAGATAGGTTTAGCAATTTTAAAACAAACTAAATGTGACTGCATAGGCGGGATATACATTGAAAGTAATAAATAAATAATATAAATATATAGGTCAATGCACGTATACGATGTAGTCTAGAAACACTGCAGAAAACATCCGCAAGGAGGGGGGAGAATCGGCTAACTCCGGAGTTTATAATGCGAGTTCCGAAGAATGTCCTGTAGTCCACCCAGTAGCCTAATTGTTTGCGGCTGGTTTCCCCCTAGCCTCTAAGGCTTTCGGGAAATGTAGTTTCCTGGGTCAATGTCGTGGAGAAGCGGTTTTCAGGGATTGCAGGTAATGAGACGTCGGTCCGGGTGAATGGGAAGGGCGATGGGGAATGAGAGGGTTAAACGGGGGTCAAAGAGAAAGTGGAAAACTCGTGGAAAGTGATTTTGAGCAGGGGAAAAGAAGAGGCGCAAGAAAGGGTCGGTAGCGATAAGATCTCCTCGTTTGCTCCAATTAGTAAAGCGTTGGAAAATGCATTTTAACGCGGAAGTAAATTTCACTGCAATGAATGGGACTTGCTTCCCGGAGCCAATATGCACAGGATTTGTGGCCTACGGGATGCAACGGGCATGCTTTCCGTCGAATAAATGTTCCCGAGCATCGTCACATCTTTGGGAGCATCTTTTTTTTTAAAGCAGCCATGTTAGGCTGATGCTGCTGGAGTAAAAAACGGAAACCCCAAAAATCTCGCGTGCCTTTGCACCAATTCTCCGTAATCCCAAGGATCCTGGAAACGGCTTTTCTGTGAAATGGCTGGGGAATCGTTAATAGTATTCTTAGTGCCACAGCGGTAGAGGGTTGCGGTTTGGCCTGAACAGGCTCAGCGGGGAGCTTCTGTTTCGAATCTCTCGTCTGCCTACCGTAGACAGAGGAAGCTACTCCCACGATCCATTGCAGGAATAATGATTGCCTACCTTACGTGGTTGTTGTGCGGATAACAAGGTACTGTGCAGCGTTTTCAACGCTTGCAAACAGGACTGAAAGGAGCTTAAATTTCTTATCGGCACTGCATCTCAAAGGGTTCAGAACAGAAGGTGAGAAGTACGGGTCTGGAACTGTGTACCGGTTTATTTATTTATTTAATTTATATCCCGTACTCCCTGCCAGACCTTCCTAGAGTTGCCAGCACCTGATAAGGAAATTCCTGGAAGTTTTGGGGGTGGAGCCTAGGCAGGGCGGGGTTTGGGAAGGGGAGGGACCTCAGAAATGTATAATACCCAAGAATCTACCTTCCAACGTAGGGATTTTCTACAGTAATTGCTGTAGTCCGGATATCAGTTGTAATGCCTGGAGATATCAGGGCACCACCTGCAGGGAGGCAACCTTACTTTCATCCTGCCCGGAAGTGCTACATAAATGCTGAGTATTACCCGTTAAAACACTTTTAGCTCACATGTCTGTTGTATTGTAAGAGGAGACACAGAGTCGGTTCTTCGTCCAAACTTGGGGCACCGCAGTGAGTAGGGCGCCCCCGGCTGGATCAGAGTGGAGCCCCTGCAGGCAGCTAGTTCCCCTGGGGCTGGGCTTGCTCTTGCAGGAGGGGACACCGTGGGCAGCACATGGACAGTAACGTGTAGTGGTTGGTGTCAGACTGAGCTCTGGGCAAGCCAAGTTGGAATCCTCACTCAGTGCCAGGCACACACCCACATGACCTTGGGCCAGGCACACACCCACATTCTTGTTGTGAGGATAGAACGGAAGAGAGGAGAAGGACTCACCTCTGAGTCCCTACTGGGAAAGCAGGCAGGGTATAAATGAAGTACACCATGACATGAAAAATTAAGTAAACAGCTAAATAAAAAAACTAGAGCGTCAGACTTGAAGGGGGCACCACACCGGGGCGGAATGGGGATTATTAATGGAAACATAGAGCTGAAAGGGACGTCCAGGGTCATCTAGACCAACCCTCTGTACAACACAAGAAGTTTACAACTACCCCCCCCCCAGTGACCCCTGCTCTATACTCATTGTGTTCAAATGTACAGGGGTTACCCAAATGCGCTGGTTGCCTGGTGTGCCAATGTCCAATAAGGAACACAGCCAGTGAGATTCCAAAAAGCAGACGGAACTTTTATTGCAATAAAAGGAGACCCCCAGATAGCAAAAAGATCCCAAGGAGTCTGAAGCTGTTGTCTCTACGTTCAGTTTTTACACATCGCTGTGAGCAATCATCAGCAGGTCTCCTCAGACATGCACAGATGTCTGGTATGATATAGGTTTCATTTTCCTGGAATATCACTGCCCAACAGAAAGTCATTCATACATTTATGGCGCTTTCACACATGCTGAATAACGCCGCTTCAATCTGCTTCAGCGACTGCAAGTGGATTTTGTCATTTCACACAGCAAAATCCAGTGGCAAAGTGCATTGAAAGTACCCTAACCTGGATAGCCCAGGCAAGCCCAATCTCATCAGATCTTGGAAGCTAAGCAGGGCTGACCCTGGCAAGTATTTGGATGAGAGACCTCCAGAGAATATCAGGGCTGGGACACAGAGGCAGGCTATCATGCCAATTCTCTGAACAGCCTCCGTACCCTAGTCGGAGTTGCCAGAGGTTGCTATGACTTCCAGCTGCACTCATACACACACACACACACACACCTGCACATATGAAAAATACAAAAAAAAAAAACCAGCCAGAAGGAAGTGGATAAAAGTGTGTTATTTAGTGTGTGTGAAAGCCCCAACTGTTTCTCCATGTAAGTATTTTCTATTTTCTTTGGAGATAGAGCAAGATGGGCAGCCGTGTTCGTCTGTCTGTAGCAGTAGAAAATAGCAAGAGTCCAGTAGCACCTTAAAGACTAACAAAATATGTGGTGGGGTATGAGCTTTCATGAGTCACTGCTCATTTCTTCAGTTATCTGAAGAAGTGAGCAGTGACACTTAAAAGCTCATACCTCGCCACATATTTTGTTAGTCTTTAAGGAGCTGCGGTGGCTCAAGTGGTTAAGATACTGAACTGCAGGCTGTGGAAGGTTGGTAGTTCAGCAGTTCGAGACCCGAGTGTGCCGCATGACGGAGTGAGCTCCCATCTCTAGTTCCAGCTCCTGCCAACCTAGCAGGTCGAAAGCAAGAAATTGCAAGTAGATAAATAGGTGGGAAGGTAACAGCGTTCTGTGCACCTTGGTGTTTAGTCATGCCAGCCGGCCACATGACCATGGAAACGTCTTCGGACAGTGCTGGCTCTTCGGCTTTGAAACGGAGATGAGCACCGCAACCCTAGAGTCGGACTCGACTGGCTTTCGAGCAAGGGAACCTTTACCTTTACTTCAAGGTGCTACTGGACTCTTGCTCTTTTGTACTTCTATTTTCTTGGTTCTAGGTCTGGGATTGTCCAGTTCCAGTTCCTCAAAACAGACTGCTAGACATTCGCTTTGCCTGCGACCCATTCACTTGGCCTTCACCTAGTTCCCACATCCTCTTCCCCCTCGTCTGATGCTGGTATCTCTCAGTGATATCTCTTAGCTCAGGCTGCAGGCTATGATATATTTTAGCTTCCCAGCAGAGAGCTGCTTTCTGGCTTTTAATAAAAGCTGTGTTCAATGGTCAGCTTCGTTACCGTAAGATCTTACGTGAAATATAAGCGTTGCTTCCTTGCTCATCTCAGGGGTCTGTGGTGCGGCAAAGGGGTCCGCTCTGCTCTCAACGGGAGCGATTTGGATTTGCAAAGTGCCGGGCGCATCACGCTGGAGAGCGGGGGGGGGGCGCATGGGCTGTCGTGGCTTCAGGGCTGTCCATCTGTTTGCTCGGCTGCGAGAAGCACAGTCTAGCACAGCCTCGGGCTCTGGCCCAGGCAGCTCTCGCCCTTCTGCTCAGATCCGCTACTGTGCCGGCTGGGTGTGAAACGGCTCCGTCTGTGTTGCTGGGCTGTTGTCCTTTGGAGCCGGAGTGAGTCGGCGGCCCCGGAGTGGCTTTTCCAAGCCGAGGCCGCACCAGCCGCCTCTTGCCTCTGAGCAGCCTTTCTGGAAAGAGGGCAGGCCTCCTAAACAGTTTGCAGCCTGATCCTAGGGTTGTTAGCTCTGGATTGGGAAATACCTGGAGATTTTTTTTGGGGGGGGTGGAGGCTGGAGAGGGTGGGGTGAGGTGAGGGGAGGGGCCTCAGCAGGGTACAATGCCACGGAGTCCACCCTCCAGAGCAACCATTTTCTCCAGGGGAACTGATCTTTATTGTCTGGAAATCAGTTGTGATAGTTGCAGGTAGATAAAAAGGTAGCGCTTCGGTGGGAAGGTAACAACCTTCCGTGCGCCTGGGCGTCTAGTAGAGTTGCCAAGTCGAATCTTCTTACCGGCGGGGGATCGTCGCCGGGCTCCGGGAGCTCTCCTCTGATGCGCGCGCGCTGCCGCCAGCACGTCCCGGAAGTGATGCGCGACGTCGATCACGTTGGGGGCGTAGCCCCGATCGTCGGAGGGAAAACCATAGAGTTTTCCCTCCAACGATCGGGGCCATGCCCCCAACTTGATCAAGGTGACGCAGCCACGCTGCGCTTCGGGGGGCGGAGTTCCCCCCAGGCCCGATTTCGCGGCGGCGGAAATTGGGCCTCCAAAGCGGGGGTTTACCCACCCCCGCCCCCACTTGGCAGCCCTAGCGTCTAGTCATGCTGGCCACATGACCATGGAGAAGTCTTTGGACAGCACTGGCTCTTTGGCTTGGAAACAGATGAGCACCACATCCCTAGAGTCGGATTCGACTGGCTTTCGAGCAAGGGAAACCTTTACCTTTACGCATGTTTGGGATTGCAGGCCTTGGAAACAGCTGATCAGTTTTTCATTTGCCTCTTGAGACTGGATGGATTATTATTACGGGGTAGTCTTGATTTGGGAAATGAAAGTGTGTTCCAACTCAGATCACAGCCAGCTTGGACTTAACATTCTGCTAGGTTTGCCAAACCCCAGGTGGCACCTGGAGATCGCCCGCCATTACAGTTGATCTCCAGATGACAAAGGTCGGTTCCTTTGGAGAAAGTGGCTGCTTTAGAGGGTGGACACTATGGCATTAGATTGTGCCAAGGTCCTGCCCCTACTGAAACCCTGCCCTCCCCAGTCTCCACCCCTCAAATTTCCAGGCATTTCCCAACCCAGAGCTGACAACCCTAGGTTCTGTGGTTTGTTCATTGTTTCTTACAACAGGCAAAACAGGAGGGATGTTCCCCCAGTTTTCTATTAAACAGCCAGGGTCTGTCTTCTGTTCTCTTTAGAACATGAATATAAAACACTAAGGCCCACCTACCTGTTTCATTTCCACACATTTAAAGGGTCAGCCAGCCATTATTTTTTTAAAAATCCCTTATTGCTCCTACGCCCATTTATAGGGCTGCCAAGTGGGGTTGGGGGGCGGGGAAACCGCTTTGGAGGCCCGATTTCTGCCGCCGCGGAATTGGGCCCCGGGGGGGAACTCCGCCCCCCGAAGAGCAGCGTGGCTGCGTCACCAGAGGTGACGCAACCACGTCACCTGCGTTGGGGGCGTGGCCCGGATCACCAGAGGGAAAACTCTATGGTTTTCCCCCTGACGATCGGGGCCACGCCCCCAACGTGGGCAACGTCGCACGTCACTTCAGTTAATGTGCTGGCGGCGTGCGCGCGCATCCAGAGCCATCGGAGCCTCCCCCGCCGGTGAGTTTGCGGGACTTGGCAATCCTACCCATTTACCAGACACACTAGTGCAAGTTTTAACTAACTTTTAAAATTTCCTTAGAGATCTGTGCTGAGTCCGTTCAGATTCATAATATAAACCAGGGGTGGCCAAACTTGCCTAACAGAAGAGCCACATAGAATAAACGTCAGATATTTGAGGGGCTCAAGGCATGAACAAATATATAACCTACACGTTTTTATTGGAAAGTATGCAAATTTGCTTTTTATTAACATTAAATGAGACTGCCAAAAATAAAAGCAAAAGGGGTAAAAACAGATATTGATAATGATATTTAACTTTAGGTAGGGAGGGAGGGGAGAAAGAGATTAGAGAAAGGATGGTGGGAAGGAAGGAAGGAGATGGGGAGAGGGAGAGGTGGAAAGAAAGCAAGGAGAAGGGAAGACCAAATGGGGAGGCATGCCTCACCTTCGCTTCCCCAGCCGCCCTGCTGGGAGCCGCACAATACGTGTGAAAGAGCCACATGTGGCTCCCGAGCCACAGTTTGGCCACCCCTGATATAAACCCACCTGTGTCTTTAATAAATTTGACTTCCTGGGTCTGAAACAGAGGCCCAATAATTTGATAGATCAGGTGAGGAATACAAATGCAAAGGTGGTAAATGTGGGGAAAGTGGCTGCTATATTTTGGGTGTACAGACAGGGGTCATTTCCTGCAGGAGCGCGCAGGAGCGGAGCTCCGGCAGTAAAGAGCCCAGGGGGCAGGCACATGCAACAAGCCCCACCCCCTGTTCCCAGTAGCCCTCAGTCAGAGCAAGAAGCAGCCAGGTAAGCTGCAGAGGCCCCCCCCAGCCCAAAACAGTCCAGTGGCACCTTTAAGGCCAAGTTCTATTCAGGTACAAGCTCTCCCTCCTCTGCAAGGACAGATCTGCATGCCTCCCCTCCCCCCAATAGCTAGCAATCCAAAACATTCCAGTGGAGCCTGAGCGGTGGGTGTTGCCTTCTGACACACTTTCGGTGATGTCAAGGGGTGCTGCATATGCAAATAAGTTATGCTAATGAGTTATGCTAATGAGCTCCACCTCTTTTTCTACAAAATGACCCCTGTGTACAGACAAATGAGCTCAGAATTATGGGGAAAATATACTAAGACATCTGTGCACGCTTACATAGGACTGTTATTATTATTGTCCAAAGATATTAAAATGGCTTCAGACTTGGCCTTGATAGGGATTAAATGACGAACAATGCAGGAGTTCTGTGACTTGCTATCCAGTTATGTTATTATGTCTTTAAAAAAACAGCCATACGGCTGGTGAGGGCCGTGTGGATTGTGGCCATAGTGGATCCCCAGTTGTGTGCACGCACGCACACACACACACACAATTAGAAAAATGTAATCCATATGCAGAAAGCTGCCTGATACTGAATCAGACCCACGGTCTATCAGGGTCCGTATTGTCTACCCAGACTGGCAGCAACTCTCCAGAGTCTCAGACGGAGGCCTTCCACATCACCTACTGTCTGATCCCTTCAACTGGAGATGCCAGGAGTTGATCCTGGGACCATCTGCATGCCAAGCAGACGCT